GGGGATGCGCGCTCTGATTGGCCCGGCCGTCGCTCCTGCTGTCGAAGAAGGCAGGTTGACGGCTCTGGCCTGCAGCAGCCACCATGCCGGGAACAGCAGGCAGCTGGGCCGGCTCGAGGCCGGCTCGAATGAGCTTGGCCACCCCACTCTGGGTGAAACGGCTTGCATGGGTGATCAAGCCAATTCCAGTCCCACCGCAAACGGATCCCACTTCCACAACAGGCAATGCACCTGTTGCCTCTTTTTTCTTTTTTCTCACCTGAGCTCGAGCTGGGCAATTGTGTGTTGCAGCCCCGGAGCGTGCGCTTCTTTCCCCAGACTCGTCTATCATGAGACTCGCAAATACCCCCGGAAGCAGGACGCAATCACGCAACAACGGAGTGGCGATCCAGCCCATTGGCCATGTCAACCGCGGTGTTCCACCACGTCCGAAGATGCATCTTTGAGTGCACCACCAGAACCCACCCTCGCGGTTTCCGTTCCCACCAGAGCCCACTCCTTCCTAAGAGATTCTAGATTCTGGATTGCACTAATGCAGCCGTGACATCTATTGACCAAGAACCCGCTGTCCATCATCAAACAGGCAGGTATGCATCAGCGTTCGGCCTGGTTGCCATGTGAAGGGCGTCAGCATCCTCTCCAACCCCACCGTCGCCGACCCGAGACCAGCGTTGCGCTGCCTTCCCGGTGCCGGGTTCCGACCATCACAGCCGGGAGCATGGATGAGCCTGCCAGTATCAATATCCAGGGCTCCAATGTACTAGACGCACGCAAGGACGGCTACGGCGTGCAACATCACCCTCAGGTACACACGAGACACAGTAGTACCGGTATCGTGCAGCCCGTTTCAGGATCTGAGATCTCCAGATGACTTGACATGGCATTGGATGTCTCGGGCCCGTCCCGCAACGCCCAGAGTGTGGGGTCTGTTTCCTCGGGTCACCAACGGCGAAGCTCAAAGGGGCAATATTGTGTAAAAAATAGAAAGTGCACATGTGACCTTGAAGTTGTTGGTCTTGCGAAACCAGCCCATGAACCTGTCATAAACCCTCAGCATTGGCAGGCATTCCAGGCTGTCTGTATTTCGCAGGTGGTTCCCCACTGTCTCTACTTGGTATCGGCCTGTCGTTCCGCAAGAAACGGCTTCCCACCATTCCTTCCGGCTTCCCTTACTATCGACTGCCATATCCGCACCAGCCTCGGAGGGAAGCAACTTGCGCGTCAACCTGTCCGCTGTTGGATTGTTGTTGTTATTCCCGGAAAACCACATGGGCTAAAAGCATCAAGCACCTGCCATTCCAGGAAAGGGGGCAAACACCACCGCGGTTATCGGGGTCGGTGGAATCGCATCACCCCACATTAGTTCAGTGTGTGTGATGGCAAACCTGCAAAACTTCCAGGTTGTCAAAAGGAGGTGTGCAAGTCAAGATCCACGAGGCAACGGGTGGCAGATCGATCAAGGCGCTCCGTCCAGTTTTCCTCATGCGAGCCCTCCTTGAAGTGAGGTCATGCCTGGACTTCCTGTGACAATTCCCACCATCCCACCCTCGGACAAGCGCCGCCAAGCCACAAAAGCTTGTCTCCTGCCGTTCCTGCAACAGCGCGCGCTCGCCAAAGTCCATTGACACGCCATGCCCGCGCTAACATGCTCCCACAGGGCAAGGGCGTGCCCGCGTTGGGTGATATTTTCAGCTCCAGGGTCTCCATCCTCGTGTTCAGTGTCTCGAGAGTGTCCACAATCTGGGGAATGGCCAAGACAACGGAGTTTACCGAGAATTTTAACGTGGGTGCAAGCACCATCCCTGTAGCCGTAAGCTGCCCAGAAGTTTTGGAGAGAAAGCTGTGCACGCCCTTCTTCCGACATGGAAGTGAGGCTGTCACATTGGAATCACAACCAAGCCCTGTGCCACTCCACATCAACTCCAGTCCGGCAAGCAAATCCACCATCCCTCAAAGTAACAGTCCGAAACCGCAAGGGGCAGTGGAGGTCGAATTCATGGCGACGAATTGTAGTTGGTGGATCAGGTTCTTGCCCATGTCGTTCACTTGACCCAGTGAGAGTCGAGTCAGAAAACACAGAAACTGATGAGTCACTGATGAAAGTGATTCAGGCCAAGAGCCACTGCAGCTCGCGTGGGACAGGAAGTAGTCGGATCCAGTTCTTGAACAATCAAACTGCCACAGCCATCACCGCACAGCCAAAGTGTGAGGGTTTCCCTCCCGTATGAAATGAATGGGTTCGGGAGCCCGAGAGAAGCGACGCCCAAGACTAGGTAGACACTCTTCATGCCAAGTTTGCTTTCACGTACAACCTAGCGGACCCTAGTTGCATTCAGTGCCAGACTGTGTTAGGTAAGGGCAACTTAACCTCGAAGTATCAGCTCAGATGCAAGCACCACTGGCACTCTGCATGAGCTCGGGCTGCAACTCGCAAGCATCTGAGTAACAGCGATGAAACAGACAATGACGCAACCTAACTCGCTGACGGAGTTCTTATCTTTTCTGTCGTTCGTGGTCCTTCTTTTCATTTGACTGGCTCTCAGGAAAACACATTTTCTCCCTCCGATGAGTGTATTAGGTGCGTTAATGAGAAGACTGATCAAGAGCGCGCGGGCTTAATCTTGACACACTGGCACAAAGTTCATCCTTGAATTTCGAGTCTGAGCCCGGCAACTCTAGCCCATAAGGTAACAGGCACTGCAGGTCGATGGTTGCTTTACCAGATCCATGTTACTGAGGTAGGTACCTTCCATGGCGTGCAATGATCCAGGGCCTCTTGCCTGCTTGTCTGGTAGTCCTGTACCTGTGGTTACCTCCCAGTTGAGTTGGCTCGTTTCCACCGGCCAGTCCTTCCAAACTTTTCAAGCTTTGCTAGGAAGGCGCTATCCTCCAGAGAATCAGGCCAAGCTCACGCCGTGGAAATGCCTCGATTCTGCCATTTCAAACTTTGCATCCGACTTCTCCAAGACTTTCCAACCAAATTCAATCCGCTCGTCCAAATCACAGCCAACAACCATTCCACAACTCTCCCCCTTGGTCTAGGGTAGCCTCGGACCTGACTGTCATCATGTTGCCCGACTGGATTCTCTTTGTCGTCGCGCTCTCCGATGGGGTTCTCGCTGGAGTCCTGCCCCCTTCGTCCAGCAGCACCAAGTCTGGCCGCCTGGGTACCTTTTCCTTGAATCAAGTCCGCAACCCGAGTTTTGTGGCCAACGGGCCGATCCAGCTCGCCAAGATTTACAACAAATACGGCGTGCCCCTCCCAGACGACCTGCAGGCAGCCGTGGACCGGATTCGGAGAGGCAGCACGGCCAAGCGGACGACCGGCAGCGCCGAGACCAAGCCCGAGGCGAACGACGTCGAATATTTGACACCAGTTTCCATCGGCACCCCCGCCCAGGTGCTCAACCTTGACTTTGACACGGGTTCCAGCGACCTGTGGGTCTTCAGTTCGGAGACTTCCAAGAGCGACGTGCAAGGTCAAACTGTCTTCGATCCGAACAAAAGCTCCACGGCACAAAAGCTCCAGGGCTACTCATGGCAGATTTTATACGGCGATGGTAGCTCCTCCAGCGGCGATGTGTATACAGACACGGTCACCGTGGGCGGCTTGACGGTCACGGCCCAGGCGGTTGAGGTTGCGAAAAAGGTCTCGAGCGAATTCAGTTCCGACTCCAACAACGACGGCTTGCTCGGCCTAGGCTTCAGTTCCATCAACACAGTGGAACCTGTCGCTCAGAAGACCTTCTTCGACAACGCTAATGCCTCCCTCGACGCTCCGGTGTTCACCGCCGATCTCAAAGCTAATGCTCGTAAGTGACGTGCCTCCAATCATAACTCGCAGCAGGTTCTTGACTGACATGATGACGCCCGCAGCTGGCCACTACAACTTTGGCTACATCGACCCCAAGGCCTACACAGGCAACATCACGTATACGCCCGTGGACAACAGTGGAGGCTTTTGGCAGTGGACATCCTCGGGATATGCGGTTGGAAACGGAACCTTCAAGACCACCGCAGTCCAGGGCATTGCGGACACGGGTACGTCCCTGTTTCTTCTGCCCACTTCAGTGGTCTCAGCCTACTACGACGAGGTGAGCGGCGCCAAATACGATAGCTCCCAAGGAGGATACACAGTCCCGTGCAGTGGGGTTGTTCCTGATTTCTCGTTTGGCGTGGGAGATGGACCCGCCTTGATCACGGTGCCTGGCGAGTACATCAAGTACACCCCGACGGGATCGAGTGGAAAGACGTGCTATGGTGGAATTCAGTCGGATTCGAGTATTGGATTTTCCATTTGGGGAGACGTCGCCCTTAAGGCCGCCTTTGTCGTGTTCGACGGCGGCAACACACGGCTGGGTTGGGCGCCCAAGAGTCTGTCTTCTGGAGGCAGTGGTTGACATGATTCTGCTTGGAGGTGAAGAGAATATCAAAAGGTGATTGCCAGGGTTTTCTTTTTGATGTCACATGCTCTCTGTTTCACCCGATCGCATTCCAACTTCCTGTTCCCGCTAGCTATCCCGTACACACGCCCTCTCACATTCACTGGACCTGGCGCAGTCTTGCTTTTACATCTATAATGGAGGAGGTTTAGACAGAATACGTGGGAGGGATTTTGGACGGTGTTAAGCACCTAGCAGTTTAGTTGGTCACGCAATCTCACGAGTTATCAAGACGTTCTCATTCCCGAGTTGTGGATGACGCATGGACGTGGTGCAAGCTTCCAAGGCCACAATGACCCCAGCAGACGGCCGGATCCAAACGTCAACACCACGAATCGACACCTGGTGAAACATGGACCCGATTAAATCAGACCCTGTGACCTGACCATGCGGCCGAGCAAGCACCGTCCCTACTCACCCGTTTTGTGTGATGCTACTGTGAATCCGATATTCCGAAGGTCACTAGGAGATGATGAGCTCCAACAAATTCAGCGGTAGGCCAAGCCCACACTCCCCTGGCGGTGGGGTATTGCTTGATGTCCCGATTAGGCAAAAATGAGGTCGTGCCCGGGTTCGAACCGGGGTCGCTGGAAGGAGAGAGATCCTCTTCAAAATCCAGAGTGCTAACCGCTACACTACACAACCTTTCTTTGTGTAAGAGTTGCCACATCCGGGCCCCAGCGCGCTTTAAGTACGGACTTCCTCTCAGGGTGCGGCAGGATGTTTCCAAAACGCTAGATGTTGCCAACACCATGCTTTCGAATTTTGACTGGAATGGTCTGCATAAATCGATACAGCCATCGCGTTGCTCTGCGATACAGTGTTGTTGTGCTGCGTCGCCTCGAGCTCGCATGCATCGCGTCAAAACCAACCATGGTCGATGTCTTGATCCCTTGTGCTGACCCTGGAAAGCCGGTCCTCAATGCTTTCTCAACTGCGCCCCTGGCCTCGACTGGATGGGCAGCTTTTGAGCTGTAATGTTGGCTTGCTCTGGGTGCTGAAAGCTCTTATGCCGGTGCCCGGCGAGATTCAAATCAAGAAACCTCGCTCAGGGCACTAACTGCAGGACAAGAAGCCTTCTCATGAACAAGGCCAGCGCCGGTGGACTTGGTTCCCAAGTGACCTGACCCTTTTACGCAACGCCTTTCTGGGTATTTCCATCCCCAACGCCGTGTATCCCATGTACCCCTGGATCCCATGTCTGCCGTACGCCTCATGTTGTGACGAGAGAAAACCAGAGAATATGCCGCCAAGGTCTATATATCCTCCTCCTCCTCATCTAACGGAAGCTCCACCTGGAACTCGACGTCGTCTTCATCCACATCCGGATCCAACAGCGCGAAAGCGAGGCAGCACATATCTGCCAGTTTTCTCCCGCCCACTGTGTCGCTTGGCTGCACCTTGAGATTTTTCCATCCCTGAGACAGCTCGCTCGGGTTCTTGGGCACCGCGTAGGCAATTTTGACCTCGCTGTCCTCTGCGGGCAAGGGCGTCTCCTCGGGCTGGCCGATCGAGGCAGTCAGGCCGTTAGGGTACCGGTCGCGAAGGGTTGCAAGGAGCTCGGCATCGAGACGGGAGAAGGGCCAGTCGAGCATGGCAAACAGGAAGATTGTATGGATGCCATATTTTAGGCGGATGGTGATCTCGAGGTCGTCTGCAGGGTTGTTGCGTGGCTGGACACGGGTCAGCGGCGCGGTTGAGAAGTGCCTGGACCAAACCGGTCATACCATCTTGGGCAAAATGTCGTGCTGTCGGAAAATGCTCACTGTGAACAGACGAGGAGGGACGGAGCAGATTCGTTTGGAGGGATTGCGCCAGATGCGATCCTTCGAGGTCCCTTCACAGTGGATAGCAGGCAGCAGGCAAGCTCGTGGCAAGACAGACCCTGCCAAGGCTCGACGAGGGGCGGTGACATGCAAGCGGCACTGGTTTAGCGGGGAGTGGGAGCTTGGACCACCGATCGATTTGGAGCATTTTCCGATGAAATCGGCTTGACGATTGTTTGAACAAGCTCGCTACGATCCATGCTCACGATTGGCCGACCTGTACATGATCATCCTTTTCTGACCACCCTCACGGCTTCCCAGAGTTTGTGCACCTTCTTCGATACTAGCCGCCGAATAACGCCTCTAGCGACGCAATGGCTACCACGGGCGACAAGCAGGAGACGAGATCGCGGATGCTGCGTGAAAGGCCGCCTCCTCCGACTCGGGCTGAGGTTGACGCCATCTACCACAACGCACGCCTTTCCCTCCCCGCCCCATTGCGGCTGCCGATGGCGTCAGCATTGTCATTCTTTGCGGGATTCACGCTGGGAACCGCCCAGGGGGGCAAGATGTCGGGCTTGCAGTTCCGGGCAGAGCATGCGCACAAGCTGCCCACCAGCACGACGGGCTGGTTCCTCTATCACAAGAGCAAGAACTATCACATGGCTTACGGGGGAATCCGCGAAGGCTTCCGCATGGGATTCAAGGTGTCGTTTTGGACCACCGCTATGTTCGCCATCGAGCAGATGTTCGACTCATATCGTGGGACCGCCGACTTCTTCAACACGGTGACGTCTTGTGTTACCGTAGCCGGGGGTTTCAGTCTTTGGAGTAGGGCTGCCCTGCACTCTCTCTTTATGTGACATGGCGTTGGATATCTGCTGACGTTCGCGCACCATCGCAGATCGTTACTCGTTGCCAATGACCGCTCGCACGACCAAAGCCGCCCTTGCCGCGGGATTTGTATATGGAGGGCTCCAGGACTTGTTGGGTATCGCAAGAGGCCGCCCCATTGGATATGTCGACTGGATTAAACAGCGGTTGGGTTCATCACGACAAGCACAACCGAAAAGCCAGTAATGGGAGGACACTTCGATTGAAGGCCGCTTGGCGTGCCCCTACCGGACCGGACGATGGGCCTTGCTGCGGGCCGGCCCTGCCGAGACACCAGCAGTCTTGCCACATCGCCGGCGCCTGCCGGTGAGCTCGGGTTGGCGCAGCAGCAATGTGGATCAACGAGGCATACCCCCACGCTTCTCAGCTTCAGTCAGTTGGTCGCCTGACCACTCCGACAAGTCAATTACCAGGCGAGCGCCGACATCAGCCGCTCCCAATCTCCACCCGTGCCTACGAGACGGGGATTGCGTTGTTTGGAGCATCGCCGCGAATTCATCGGTATCCCTAAGCCGGCGGTTGTTCATCTGACGAGCTTCGGCATTGGGGGTTGGCTCTGGACCATTCTGGTGCTGCAGTGCTCCAGCGGGCCATGGCAAATTTACCAAAAGCCGCTGCTTCGCGGCGCTAGGCCACTTGGCAAGCCCCGCTTTGCTCTGTCGTGGAGCTGCGCTTGCGATGCCGGCAGCGAGCGAGGTCCCCACATGTGCGGCTATCTGCGGTTTTCTGATAAGGGGACCAACGATAGCATCATCACCCGCATCGACGCACCAACAAAGGCACTGCTCGACAGCTCAACGCACAATGGCAATCATCGTTATCCCGCCATTCCATCGGGATTGGTGGGTTCTGGCGTGGTTCAGGGCAAGGCAGGTGCGATACCGGTGAGAAAAGGGCCGGGAAAGCAGGTTTGCGGACGGGATATATCTAAGGTACTTGCCCAGTTCGTCCCATCGAATTGAGGCGCACCCCCCTTCATGATGCAACACTCGGCTTCCACTCCTCCCACGATCTCTTAGTTTCGCGCTGTTTCCGATCCACCATTATCCTGGTCTATCACTGCGCGCCACCTCCCACGCCACAAGGTACATACAGCAACCAAGAAGTAAAACAGGACCACAGTGCATCGCTGCCATGGCACCGATACCACAGGCGCTACCTGGCATTCTGCCGCCTTGTAGCATTGGGAGAGTCAGGGCAAGTGTTGCAGCTACACCATCTGCGATACTCGTTGCTTCGACCACCCGTTCTTCTTTCTCGCATTCGCGCCGATCCACTCGGACAACAACACGATCCGCATCGACCTCAACGCGGTCACTACACTCCTCGTCCAACCAGTCATCACCCTCCGGGAATCTCACAATCAATGGCGCCGTTGAGTTGCCGGTTTCCACAACCGAGCATCAGCCAGCAAAGATGTCTCGGCCGGCGCCATTGGCCGTCCTCCCGCTCACCAACGTTCTTCGCTCACTCATGACGGCGACCATTTCATCCTCACCTCTCCTCCTCCCGCCTTCCTTGGCCATCATGTCCGTCTTGGCCAACACAAGCAACCCCGTGCTCAATCCCGACAGGAATCCCATCCTCCGCTATTTTCTTAAAAAGACGTTCTATGCCCAGTTCTGTGCTGGCGAGAACGCCCTTGAAGTACAGCGGACCATCGATTCGTTGAAGAAGATTGGTTTTGGCGGCGTCATGCTGTGTTACGCCAAGGAGGTTGTGCTCACCGAGGCACAAATGAAGGATCTTGCGTCTTGCGAGACCGACGCGGCCGTGGAGGAATGCGTGCGGAACGAGATCACCCCATGGGCCAACGGGACGATGGAGACGGTGCGGCTCGCTCCGCCCGGCGACTTCGTCGCTCTCAAGTTCACGGGCGCCGGTAGGCAGGCTCTTCACGCCCTCTCCGAGCGTCTCCCGCCCCCTGCGGCCCTGGAATCTGCGATTGACAGCATTTGCCAGCTGGCCGCGTCGCGTGGCGTGCGTCTGCTCTTTGACGCCGAGCAGCAGGCCCTCCAGCCGGGCATCGACGACTGGTCCCTCAAATACATGCGCAAGTACAACACGCCCGACGCCGCCGTTGTCTACGGGACATACCAGGCGTATCTGAAAGGCGCGTCGGCGGTCCTTAGTCAGCACCTCGCTGCTGCGCGCGAAGGCGGCTTTGCGCTCGGCGTCAAGCTCGTCCGGGGCGCGTATCTCGGCAACGACCCGCGCCATCTCATCCACGACAGCAAAGCCGACACGGACCTGACCTACGACGGCATTGCCGAGGCCCTGCTGCGCAAGCAGTGGAACGCGCAGCTCCAGCCGCACACCGAGGCCGAAGGGTCCGCCGCGTTCCCCAACGTGAGCGTGGTGCTAGCCACGCACAACCGGGATTCGGTGCTCAAGGCCCAGGCGATCCTCTCCGAAGGGAAGATTGACGCAGACGTGGCGTTTGCTCAGCTGCAGGGCATGGCTGACGAGGTCAGCTGCGAGCTGGTAACGACGAGCAGTGGTGCAGCCGAGAAGGCAAGGGCCTACAAGTACCTTGTCTGGGGATCGACGGGCGAGTGCATGAAGTACCTGCTGCGGAGGGCGTACGAGAACAGGGACGCGATGCAGCGGACGCGCGATGGGCGGGATGCCATGCGCACCGAGTTGCTAAGGAGGGTCAAGAGTCTGTTTGGGCTCGCCAGGTGAGGGGACACGAGGTGTTGTCAGTTGGCACGCGATGGGTTGAGGTTCGGGGGGCATGCAAAGGTCGGTGGTCGGCGTTTGGCAGCGATGGGATTTTGTTTGACTTTTGGCGTCATCATGAGAGCGAAGCATTCGCGCAGGTCTATCCTAAAGTTCTAGCGAGCATAGTCAGCCTGATTTAACTGAGAGCAACCATCAAAGTGTAGTGGATCCGTCTTTGTCTTTGTTGTAGAGCAGGATCATAACCTGTTGTGTTGACTGCTTCATACCCACGTGAGGTTTGAAACACGTTGCCTCCTCGTG